GAGGATTTGTCACCGCTGACCCTATCCGAACCCGCCGCTTTATCGGCTTTAAAAAGGCTTAACCCTATGAAGGCGGCAGCCTTAGATGGGGTAGTATGGTGAAGGCGTACACAGGCATCCTTGCTTGCCCAGTTACAGCTGTGCAAAACAGCAGTTTCGCGGAGCAGAGACGCCCGTCAACCTGGAAGATGGTGCCTGTCCCCAAGCTAAAACCTGTTATCGACATCAACAAATATCTTCGTCCGATCTCCCTAACCTCCGTAATATGTAAACTTGCACAGGACTTCGTCGTCGCTCTCCATTTCGGCCCTGTGATTCTGGAGGTGATTGATCCAAATCAGTATGGTTGCATCCCAGCGTCCTCTACCCTACACGCCCTTACGTGCATGCTACATGTACCTGGTTGCAAGCCACCGACGGGTCTGGGGCTGTTGTGAGAGTCGTCCCTTCTGATTACAGGAAGGCCTTCGATCTCAGCGACCACACCCTGCTCGTGCGCAAAGTTTTCGGCCTATCTTTTCCTCGCGCTGTTGCCCTGTGGCTGGCCGACTTCTTAACGCATAGACAACAATGCGTAAAGTTGTCTAGAGACTGTTTTTATGAATGGTCCCTGTGCCCGCTGGTGTGCCTGAAGGAACCAAACTAGGCCCATCGCTATTCCTCAGGGGTTTTCAGTGTGGCCACATATAGAAGCAGATTTTGTACGTTGACGATACTTACTAGAGAGATTAAGCATCGCGTTTACGGCAAACGGCAAACGTAAGCAAGTTTCCCCTTCACTAGACGTTTTCTGTTCATTATAACTACACGAAAATCGGTAGATTCAGGCCAATTTTATCCATAAGAATTGCTTTAAGCTGCTTTTATCTGCTCATTTCTCATTTTGTTAATTTCTCAACTTGAATCTCAAGTTTGCCTTTTGCCGTAAACGCGATGCTTAATCTCTCTACTATTGATGAGTTAGTCCCGCGAGGCGCACAGGGCGACATTCAAAGCGCAGTTAGTGCCGTCCAGGAATGGTCACGTGAGCAATGTATTCAACTAAACGCTGACAAATGCAAGGAGATGATCATCAACTTTAAAAATAACAAACACGTTTTCAGCCCAGTTGTGATCCACGAGAAGGAACCAGCTGTTATAATAGTGCCAAACTTTTAGGTATAACACTGCCGGGTCGACTATTGTAACAGCCTGCTCTGTGGCCTGCCAGCCTAGCAGCTTAATAAGCTACAGAGGGTCCAAAATGCTGCCGCTAGGAACTTATTAATCTTAAAGAAGCATGTAAATACAATTTACTCTCCGATTGTGATGTACTGCTACTAAATCCTGTGAAATCAAGACTTTAACAACGTTAGGAGATCGATCTTTTGCTGCTGCGGCTCCTCAACTATGGAATTCATGGTCCGGCTATGCGATTAGGAGTAGCCCCTCAGTAGCATCTTTTCAAAAGACACTCAAGACATCTTTATTTCAGAAAGCTTTTTTGTAATTTTATGTGCTTTTTAATCTCGTTTCCAGTAGGTTTTATGCAGTTTTTTACCATTTAAGTAGTCTAGGTAATTTTTATAATTTTAGTGTTGACATTATTGTTTTAACTCTTTTTGGTAGGTTCATGCACTTTGTATACTTTATGGAGTCCTAGTAGTTTTGTTTCAATGAAATATTTTTATTTTTAAGCGCTGATGAAAATAGCAATATTGATATCGGCGCTATATAAGTTTTATTATTATTATTATTATTATTATTATTATTATTATTATAATTATTATTATGATATCCATTCCTTGTAGACTCAGGCAGGATGTTCGGCCTGATTTATAGTCCTTGGGAGCGGGTTACCACAAGTCACCACGGGTCCCAGGTCTCTCTTTTCCTTCCTCTTACATGGACAGTACTTCCCTTAGTATCTTTGCTGTCCCCAACAATGCTGTTTTCTGGATAACTTCCAACCTCACGTTCAAGCCGATTCTCTTCATGTACTCCTTAAAGTTGAAGCGAATCGGCGTGAACGTTATCCAGCAAACAGTATTATTGGGGACAGCAAAGATACTAAGGAAAGTACTGTCCCTATCATTATCATTATCATCATCATCATCATCATCATCATCATCATCATCATCATCATCATTATTATTATTAACGATCTCAAGTGGAAAGTTTATATAATATACAACTATCCCCTGAAGGGGAGGTGATCAGAATAGTCAGGTGGGATATACCTAGACGCGAAGTGTCGAGGTATATATCTAGCGCTATGAACCGACCCTGAGTGGGATAGTTGTTTTAGTATTTACCAAATCAGTTGGATACAAATCACTTAGTTCGAGTTTGTTGACGTTTTAATTTACAATGTTTCGGGGGTCATTTGTTATGATCTTGTTCCAAATTCAGTAAGAAAATTCTTTTCTAGCGACAATTAAACACAGACAAGCCAAATTTTTCCGCTTTCTTGGTATTTGTTGGTGCAGCCGCTTCATTTACCGCTAAAACTTCATCTTTCGAAACTGTCGCGAAACGAGAAGCAGAATCCCGTCATGAACAAATGAAACAGTGAATATCCAAGGATATTAATAGTTACGGGAGCCAATCAGAACGCGCGAAAATTGCTACCCACTCATTTGGTGAATACTAAATGAAACTATTAAGAAAACAAATAAGCGTTTGTATTTTTTTGGTTCAGCTTGAGCTGTAAAGATATTGTTGACTTCCACTGTACAGTAATGAGACCCGTTCTAGAATATTGCTCGTCCATTTTCCACCATAGCCTACCCGACTGTCTAAGTGAGCGTGTACAAAAAGAGCGCTCTCCATAATAGCGCCTGATAAATCATACAAACGCTGTTTAGTCAATTTTGGTGTCAGCACTTTATATGATAGGCGTAACGATCAGTGTATTTAGCTGTTTAATAGTATATCCTCGAATAAGCTCAAATTCGCTTGCTTGTTGCTTTCTCCGAACCACCAAAGCTACTACAATACCAGGTATGAGAGTGTTTACGACTTGCCCCACTTTCGCACAAACCGCAGCAAAAATTCGTTCAAACCAGCCATGTGCGGCAGTCCAAACATGTTATTATAATGTAAGATTAAGTGTTATTACGTTATTTTTCCTTTCTTTTTCAGTTCTTCATTATCATTATTCCTAATTAACAAAATCGAAATTAGTCTTTTACCATTATTTTATACTTTTTTATTGTATTGTAAATAATTAAACAATTCAGCCTTCAGCCGGCTGCGATTTGATTGTTTTCTTATCTATGATCTATCTTTACTGGGAGAAGTAACGTCTTCAGCGGATTGATCAGATGTCCTATACTTCGACCAAGCTGGATTGAGTCACCGCAAGATTGAGGATAACATCTTCTTCGCTCTACATAATTCGTCACATCCTACTCAGCCTCATTCAGTAATTGATAATTATGACAACGATCACTTTGTCGATCAGAGGTTAGACTTCAAACTCTTATTAGTACATTTGGAAATGTCTCTTTTGAATTCTACTCAGAGACTCAAACGCGTGAACTCGAGACAAAATAATACTGAATTAATAGCCTTAACATTAAGACGATACAGGTCTGTACTGAAATATAATCACCTGTGCAGTTAACTCCGTTCCCATAATACCCTGGTTTGCAAGTACACTCGAAAGATCCTTCACTGTTATTGCAGGCTGCATTGGCATCACAGTTGTGCTCGCCTGTTATACACTCGTTTACCTCTGCAAATCAGATGCAGGACTAAATCATCAAAACTGATTTACTTAACCTTTTATTTTCTACGATTGGTTACGATAAGAAGAGAGAGGGAGAGAGAGATTTCTGGCTATGCTAGAAAGCAAAAACATTTTTGCTATATATTGAGCAGGTGAAAAATTCACAAAAAAATTAATGACATCACGTGTATAGATAGAGGATTAGCGAGACCTAAGGAAGCAAGATATTATAAAATGCAATCTTGTAGGAGCACAATAAAATAACACATTAAAAAACTTAAATATTTCAAGCATGTATAGGGGTAAAATTGCATACAGATACTGTAAATCAAAAACTTTTGTAAGGCATGGGTCGCACTTGGGAAAAGTTTTCATCTTTGCCGGCTAAAAAACCACAAAAATTCGAAACCGCAACCGGAAAAGAAAACTTTTAGTCCAACCGAGGAGGGTCGCATTAGTGGGAGTTAATAATTTTTGCTTTGACACATCGAGAACTTAAGAACGCCAGATACCAGAAAACATTTTTCTCTTCTTCGTCCGAACCTTTGTCGAAGGATCTTTTTCCTCCATTCCCAGTTTCAGGAGGATGGGACAGATAAAGAAGACCAGAAAGTGCTTGGATGCGAATAGTGCATTTGGCTTGGGGAATAACAAACCTGATAAGTGTTTGCTTGCGTAGACGGGAACTCAACTGGTTTGCCTTCCATAGAGCTAGTTCCCGTAAAAACGTTAAAATAGCGAAGGTTTATAAGCGAGGGAAGTCCTTGCCTGTAGAGAGTTTTCGAAAAAAACTCGAAATGGCGAAGGATAGCCGAGTAGAAGCCTCTTCGCGAAGGTCTGAAAATTCGACCGCGTTTATTTTAAATTGATCGTGTTTCAAATGGATCACGTTCATGACAAGGCGCTGACAGTTACCGCTGTGATTCCTATTGTTTAGCTCGAGTTTTCTAAAATCTGCCTGCCCCGCCCAAGCACTACGGCGTCTTTGATGTTTTTGCCGATTTTCAAAGTTTTTTCTAACTTGAAAACTCGGGGTCGCACTTAGCAATGTCCACCGATGACAGATTTCTACCGCAAGGTAAACAAATTCTCCCAAAACTTTGCCAAGTGCGACCCATGCCTAATGCAAGAGCATTTCCATACTTTTTCATCTTAAATTGAAAACAAACTGTAGCTCTAGGGACTAAGCTGTATACTACCTTGTGGGTGAACTTGGCTCTAATGCGAGATAAATGGAGTTGATTAGAAAAAGATTTATTATAAAGAAGACCGAGGTATTTTTTTCACCTGTGCAGTTAACTCCATCCCCAGAATACCCTGGCTTGCAGGTGCACACAAAGGATCCTTCAGTGTTTTTGCAACTGGCGTTTGCATAACAGTTGTGCTTTCCTGCTTCACATTCATTTATATCTGGAAAAAAGAAGTCAGGCACTGAATGATTAAAACTGATTTCCTTTTTCTTTCACAGCAACTATTGTGGCCTACCATAATAGCCATTTCATGCGATCAATTTTCATTTTCAAAACGAGGTCAATCCTCGAACCTTTCTCCTTTGAAATTAATTTTTATATCAAAAGGCTTTGCACTTCGCTTCGTTTTAAGACAGAAGCTCGAGTCAACTCGAAAATGGCCTATTAGAATTACAATATACCTGACTTATTATTTAGCAATTAATGAGTGAGGCTGAGTAGGATATGAAGAATTAAGCAAATCGAGGAGGGTGTTATCCACAGAGGCCGAAGGCCGCGGTAAATAACATTACATATTACATATTACATAAATAACATATTACCCTCACAAATCCGCTATAACAATAACACAAATCCGCTATTTATTTTCTTATTTAAAACATTAACCCCCATATATTAGTATTTTTAAAAAAAGGAAGACCTAGTGTACACAACTATAGTTAAAAAGGTCTGAATTTAGTTTTTGTGTCCGAATGAAGACTTTCTGAAAACCGTCTAATTTCACGTTTAAAACCAGTGAAATCTTGATATTTTGGGTCGAGACGGTTTTTTTATTGTTTGTGGCCGTTAAAAAAAGTATTTAAAAAAAAAAAACTCATTTCATTTCATTACACACCTTAGGCTTACTGATCACCAAAAAGGAGCGAAATCGATTTTTGACCGTGGCCGTGATTTTTTCCGATTTTGTTTGATGTTGTTTGATTTTTTGATAACGGCGCTATATAAGTTTCATTATTATTATTATTATTATTATTATTATTATTATTATTATTATTATTATTATTATTATTATTATTATTATCTAATCAACCGCTTTATAATCTGGTGTAATTGGTCGAAGATGATAATAAGGGTTGATAAATGTTCTACTTTTGGAATACGGAAACTGTGCACTAAAATCTGTCCAATATTTACCCAAACTGTTGATCAATGGAGTTCTAATTCCCTGTGTGGAAATGAGTGAATCATTTCGTTACTTAGGTCGCTTCTTTGACTTCAACATGTCTAACCACCAACACATGTCTGAATTGTCCTCTCTTGTACAAGACTTGATGAATGACATTGATATAAAGCCACTACATCCTAAACACAAACTTCTTCTGTACAGTCGCTATGTCCTATCTAAATTGTCCTGGCATTTCACTATAGCTAATATATCCAACACCTGGATAACAGAACATCTCGACTCTGTAGTGAATGGCTATATTCGAAAATGGCTTGATATTCCGATATCTGGAACACTGAGCAATGTTTTCCTAGAACGCAATAAATTTGGTCTTAATATTTGTCCTCCCTCTGTTAAATTTACTCAGTGCCAAACAGTTTTCCGAGATTCATTAAAAGAGTCACCAAATGATTCCTTAAAAGATCTCTGGAAATCGTCAAGCTGTCGCACTAATATTCAATATGATGTGTACAAATCCACTAAGGAAGTTCTTAATCAAGAGGATAAACTGCAACACCACCTAACATCTCAAGGTTTCTTCTTCTCAGATGTTATCAAGTACTCATTGCATCTGTAAATTCTATTTGGTCAGAGGCCCATTCTCATCTACCCAAGAACATTTACAATTTTACCATCCACTTCATCAACAACTCCCTCCCTACACGTAAGAATATGGCAAGATGGGGATTCTCACAAAGTCCTCATTGCTCCTTTTGCCTTAATCCTGAATCACTCCTTCATGTTGTCGCTGGTTGTCAACAGTACCTTGATCGCTTTACCTGGAGACACGACTCAATCCTTAACTTCATTGCCAAGTCACTTCAACCTGTAATTAATGTTCACTCTTCACGCTATGCAGATGTTAATGGTTTTCTGAATCCCTCAATAATAACTGGTGATAATTATCGTCCAGATCTTCTTTTCCTAATCCAGTCCAAGTGCCTATATGTTCTAGAATTAACAGTTGGTTTCGAGTCTAACTTTAACAACAATGCAGCGCGTAAGAAAGAAAAATATCTGAACTTGATCAACGAAATGAGCAGAAATTACAGATGTGTGAGATTTGTAAATCTCTCCATGAGTTCCCTTGGCGTTCTCTCTGATGAATGCTCCACGTTCTTAGACATGATGAAAGACATTGGCATTGACAAAAAGCAGCAACGTTATATAATCAAGAAAATGATAAATATAGCCATTAGAGCAACATACTTTTGTTTTGTTTTGTTTTTGTTTGCTTTTGCTTTGTTTTTGTTTTTGTTTTTCTTTTTAATAATCCAATTTCAAGCAGCATTTTTAAATTACCTATACGTAGCGAGATTTACAATTGTACATTCAAAAACACAAATAAAGTTTCCATTATTATTATTATTATCATTATTATTATTATTGTTATTATTATTATTATTATTATTATTATTATTATTGCTATATTAGTCACCACGGGTCCCAGGGCTCTCTTTTCCTTCTTCTTACAGGGACAGTACTTTCCTTAGTGTCTCTGCTGTCCCCAGCAATGCCGTTTTCTGGATAACTTCCAACTTCACGTTCACGCCGATTCTCTTCATGTACTCCTTAAAGTTGAAGCGAGTCGGCGTGAACGTTATCCAGCAAACAGCATTGTTGGGGACAGCAAAGATACTAAGGAAAGTACTGTCCCTATTATTATTATTATTATTATTATTATTATTATTATTATTATTATTATTATTATTATTATTATTATTAACGATCTTAAGTGGAATGTTTATATAATATACAACTATCCCCCGAAGGGGAGGTGATCAGAATAGTCAGGTGGAATATACCGAGCGCTATGAACCGACCATGAGGGGGATAGGTTGTTTTAGTACTTACCAAATCAGTTGGATAAAAATCACCAATCGCCAATCAGAACGCGCGAAAATTGCTATCCACTGATTTGGTGAATAGTAAATGAAACTATTAGGAAAGCAAATAAGCGTTTGTATTTTTTTTTTGGTTCAACTTGAGCTTTAAAGATATTGGTGACTTCCACTGTACAGCAATGAGACCCGTTCTAGAATATTGCTCGCCCATTTTCCACCATAGCCTACCCGACTGTCTAAGTGAGCGTGTACAAAAAAGAGCGCTTTCCATAATAGCGCCTGATAAATCATACAAACACTGTTTAGTCAGTTTTGGTCTCAGCACTATATATATGATAGGCGTAACGATCAGTGTATTTAGCTGTTTAATAGTATATCCTCGAATAAGCTCAAATTCGCTTGCTTGTTGCTTTCTCCGAACCACCAAAGCTACTACAATACCAGGTATGAGAGTGTTTACGACTTGCCCCACTTTCGCACAAACCGCAGCAAAAATTCGTTCAAACCAGCCATGTGTGGTCGTCCAAACATGTTATTATAATGTAAGATTAAGTGTTATTACGTTATTTTTCCTTTCTTTTTCAGTTCTTCATTATCATTATTCCTAATTAACAAAATCGAAATTAGTCTTTTACCATTATTTTATACTTTTTATTGTATTGTAAATAATTAAACAATTCAGCCTTCAGCCGACTGCGATTTGATTATTTTCTTATCTATGATCTATCTTTACTGGGAGAAGTAACGCCTTCAGTGGATTGATCAGATGTACTAAACTTCGATCAAGCTGGATTAAGTCACCGCAAGATTGAGGATAACATCCTCTTCGCTCTACATAATTCTTCACATGCAGCCTACTCAGCCTCATTCAGTAATTGCTAAATAATTATGATAACGATCACTTTGTCGATCAAAGGCTTGACTTAAAACTCTTATTTGTACATTTGGAAATGTCACTTTTGGATTCTACTCAGGGACTCAAACGCGTGAACTCGAGACAAATAATACTGAATTAATAGCCTTAACATTAAGACGATCCACGTCTTTACTGAAATATAATCTAACAATTCTGCACCCGAAAATATCAAGAGAGCCTTTACTAGGATTTCTGAGGTGCACTCATATCCTACCCGATCTTCTCTCAATGATGATTTCTATACCGAACACTCAAGGCTTGAAAAAATGCATAGTTCTTCTAAGAGTTGGACCAAAAATCTGGAATTCTTTACCCTCAGATATGAAAAACTTAGCAAAATCTACCTTTCGGAAAAAGATAAGGAATAAGCTCTTTGAAATTTTATCTAAATCTGATGACTATCTTGAAATCACTGAAATCATGCATCAACTTAAATTTAACTTGCTCAGGAACACAACTAAATTTATATTCTCTGTGCAAAATCATATTGCAATTAAATTAGCTTAATACATACTATAGTTTTTATTTTGCGACAGCTGGTACTGTTTGTAAAATAGTTCTTTTTTTCTTTTCTTTCTTTAAATTTGTGTCTCTTCCCCCGCCTCGATTAGGCTCTCCTATTCGCGGGTGGAAGCTATCGTGTAATTGTAAACTGAAAGTGAATGAATAAAGTTGAAGTTGAAGTTGATAATCACCTGTACAGTTAACTCCGTTCCCCGAATACCCTGGCTTGCAAGTACACTCGAAAGATCCTTCAGTGTTATTGCAGACTGCATTAGCGTCACAGTTGTGCTCTCCTGTTATACACTCGTTTACGTCTGCAAATCAGATGCAGGACTAAATCATCAAAACTGATTTACTTAACCTTTTATTTCCTAGGATTGGTTACGATAAGAAGAGAGAGGGAGAGAGAGATTTCTGTCTATACTGAAAAGCAAAAACATTTTTGCTATATATTGAGCAGGTGAGAAATTCAGAAATGACATCAAATGTATAGATAGAGGATTCGCGAGACCTAAGGAAGCAAGATATTAGAGAATACAGAATGACTTCCTCTCTAAAGAAAAATGGCCAACAGAATGAGGGATAAAAAGGACACGTTTCCGCTCATACTCTAAAGACGGAATTGTGTACATTGGTTTGATATAATTAAATGTAGTAAGCTCACCCAGCGTAAATGCGTGTTCGGACATGACAATCTTGAATGGGCACAATATAATAATACATAAAAAAACTTAAATAAATATCTCAAGGATGTATAAGGCTAAAATTGCATACAGATACTGCAAATCACAAACTTTTATAATGCAAGAGCATTTCCATACTTATTCAGCTTAAAAGAACAAACTGCACTACCAGGGACTAAGCTGCATACTACCTTGTGGCTGAACTTGGTTTTAATGCGAGATAAATGGAGTAGATCAGAAAAAGATTCATTATAAAGAAGACCGAAGTATTGTTTTCACCTGTGCAGTTAACTCCATTCTCAGAATACCCTGGCTTGCAGGTGCACACAAAGGATCCTTTAATGTTTTTGCAATTAGCGTTTGCATGACAGTTGTGCTTTCCTGTTTCACACTCATTTTCATCTGCAATTCAAAAGTCAGGCACTGAATAAAAAAAACTGATTTAGTGTTCTTTTCTTTTATTGCAAGTAACTTTGGCCTACCATAATAACAGTTATCTGCCTTACGTTGTTGGAAACTGACGCGACTTAAAATTAATTGGACTTTGGTGAAATCATAATGCAAAAAAGGTTGTTTTGTGTTGTTTTGTTTTGTTTTGTTTTTATTTTGGTACGATTTTTTTGGTTCAGCTTGAGCTGTAAAGATATTGTTGACTTCCACTGTACAGTAATGAGACCCGTACTACAATATTGCTCGCCCATTTTCCACCATACCCTACCCGACTGTCTAAGTGAGCGTGTACAAAAAAGAGCGCTTTCCATAATAGCGCCTGATAAATCATACAAACACTGTTTAGTCAGTTTTGGTCTCAGCACTTTATATGATAGGCGTAACGATCAGGGTATTAAGCTGTTTAATAGTATATCCTCGGATCAGCACAAATTCGCTTGCCTGCTTTCTCCCAACCACCAAGGTTATTACAATACCAGGCACGAGAGTGTTTACGACTTGCCCCACTTTCGCACAGACCGCTGCAAAAATTCGTTGAAACCAGCCATGTGCAGCCGTCCAAACATGTTATTATAATGTAAGATTAAGTGTCATTACGTTATTTTCCCTTCTTTTTCAGTTCTTTATTATCATTATTTCTAGTTAACAAAATTGAAATTAGTTTTTAACCATTATTTTATACTTTTTATTGTATTGTAAATAATTAAACAATTCAGCCTTCAGCCGGTTGGGATTTGATTATTTTATTATCTATGACCTATCTTTACTGGGAGAAGTAACGCTTTCAGTGGATTGATCAAATGTACTAAACTTCGATCAAGCTGGATTGAGTCAACGCAAGATTGAGGATAACATCCTCTTCGCTCTACATAAAAATTTTTCAAATGCAGCCTACTCAGCCTCATTCAGTAATTGCTATATAATTATGACAACGATCACTTTGTCGATCAAAGGCTAGACTTCAAACTCTTATTTGTACATTTGGAAATGTCACTTTTGGATTCTACTCAGGGACTCAAACGCGTGAACTCGAGACAAAATAATACTGAATTAATAGCCTTAACATTAAGACGATCCAGGTCTTTACTGAAATATAATCACCTGTACAGTTAACTCCGTTCCCCGAATACCCTGGCTTGCAAGTACACTCGAAAGATCCTTCAGTGTTATTGCAGACTGCATTAGCGTCACAGTTGTGCTCTCCTGTTATACACTCGTTTACGTCTGCAAATCAGATGCAGGACTGAATCATCAAAACTGATTTACTTAACCTTTTATTTCCTAGGATTGGTTACGATAAGAAGAGAGAGGGAGAGAGAGATTTCTGTCTATACTGAAAAGCAAAAACATTTTTGCTATATATTGAGCAGGTGAGAAATTCAGAAATGACATCAAATGTATAGATAGAGGATTCGCGAGACCTAAGGAAGCAAGATATTAGAGAATACAGAATGACTTCCTCTCTAAAGAAAAATGGCCAACAGAATGAGGGATAAAAAGGACACGTTTCCGCTCATACTCTAAAGACGGAATTGTGTACATTGGTTTGATATAATTAAATGTAGTAAGCTCACCCAGCGTAAATGCGTGTTCGGACATGACAATCTTGAATGGGCACAATATAATAATACATAAAAAAACTTAAATAAATATCTCAAGGATGTATAAGGCTAAAATTGCATACAGATACTGCAAATCACAAACTTTTATAATGCAAGAGCATTTCCATACTTATTCAGCTTAAAAGAACAAACTGCACTACCAGAGACTAAGCTGCATACTACCTTGTGGCTGAACTTGGCTTTAAAGCGAGATAAATGGAGTTGATTAGAAAAAGATTCATCATAAAGAAGACCGAGGTATTGTTTTCACCTGTGCAGTTAAGTCCATCCCCAGAATACCCTGGCTTGCAGGTGCACACAAAGGATCCTTTAGTGTTTTTGCAAATAGCGTTTGCATGACAGTTGTGCTTTCCTGTTTCACACTCATTTTCATCTGCAATTCAAAAGTCAGGCACTGAATAAAAAAAACTGATTTAGTGTTCTTTTCTTTTATTGCAAGTAACTTTGGCCTACCATAATAACAGTTATCTGCCTTACGTTGTTGGAAACTGACGCGACTTAAAATTAATTGGACTTTGGTGACATCATAATGCAAAAAAGGTTGTTTTGTGTTGTTTTGTTTTGTTTTTTTTTCTTTTGGTTCGATTTTCATTGACCTCTCAGGCAGGCGCTACCTCCCTTCCTGCGTGTCTCCCTCGCGCGCTCCGACCTTCCTTTCGCCCATACTAGCTATTTTCTGGATTAGGTTCAAGCCCCTGCTAAGCAGGCTAGAGTCATTGCTAGTTCCAGGTAACATCTGGTACTTAATTTAAAAAATTAGCCTCCCACACAGGCCTTTCTAGGAGAGTCGCATTCCTCCCTTCCTCTTGTGGAGAGGAACTATATATATGACTCACCTAATAACGTCTGCGTGGGAGCAGGCTAATTATGATATAGGGAGTTTATAAGCAAAGGCGTTGGGCAACGCACCCTGGGCAACTAACGTCGACCAGTTGTTGTCTATTTTCATTCTTGTTGTTAGGTAGTTTCCCCGGGCAAACCGCCACTATAATAGTTAATTAAGACACTGAAAAGAGGTAGGCAATACAGATTTGGTAGTTTTTATGTATATTAAAAGGGATAAGGATTTACTTCCAGTTGGCATGCGTCGCTCAAAGAAAACCCGTTTCAACTTAAGGCGCCAAAAAAACTTAAAATAGATAATTGTAAGGACGCTAACTTAACATAAACAAAAGACGTGGCTACGAAGTATCTGAATGTTTCAATTAAGAGATCTTAAAGTGGATGTTACCTGTACATTTATGTTGTCCACTTTTAAAATACCCTTTTAGACAGTAACACTCGAAGGATCCTTTAGTGTTAACGCACAATGAAATAGCTTCATCACATTGGTGTTTTTTTGTATTACACTCGTCAACGTCTGGAAATAAATAAGGGTAAATTATCAGACTGACCAAGTTCGATTTTTATTCCTATCGAATGAGAGATAGTAGCGCAATGCATTCGAACGGTAACCCTGAAATGGTCTACGCTTGAATTAAACTTTCCAAAACGAATTCAGTGGTAAGCAGTACTTATTTTGTTTATTTTGTTTCATGCTACTTATAGCAATATGTCACTTACATAAATACGAAACCAGTTTGCAGCTTTTGCAGATTTATTTTCTTATTGGCTTATTTCTTATTTCTGCTGCGATGGCGTACAACTAAAGTTTAGATCCTGTAAGTTCACGCTGCGTATGTAGGTTTGTTACCTGCACAGTTGACACCATCCCCAGAATATCCTCGTTTGCAAGTACACGTGAAGGAACGCTTGGTGTTGGTGCAGTATGCATCATCGTGGCAGTTATGCAGTCCTGTTTCACACTCGTCTACAAATCAGCAAGTAGAAGTTACTTATAAGAATTTCTTTCTTCCTTTACCGATAAAGTTAGTTTTCACACTTTAAGCTAGCTTAACAGTTGTTTTGATTATTTATATTTGCAACAATGTTTGAGCTCAAACAACTGAGATCATGATCTCCTGGTTCAAATTATTATAAACTATGAAAAAAATATATATCTGTTGACGTGCTTTCAACAAGAATCCTACTGAGAAAACGTTGGTCTCAATACTCCAATCAAGAAACTTGCATGCCTTAGGGCCCCTTGTCGTATCGTGTTGCTAGGCTACGTGGCTGCTATGCAAGTGAAATTGAACTTCTGGTCTTAGTATTTCGCTTGCTTTTGGACTGACGTCAGCGCGGGATAATTGTGAGTTTACGCAACAGGATGGTAGGAAGAAGAGGACGTCAAAACGCTTGTGCATGACAAAAGTGACAGGCTAGGACTATTACGTACGTGTTTTGTCGTGATATATTCACTTAACATTAACGTTTACTAGTCTTTACAAAAAAATTCCGTTTAAAGGAGAGTGAAGTTTGGCGAAAAGTTGTTTCAAACAAAATTATTGTCACGCTTGTTTGCCGTCTTCTTTCCTCTCCCGTCCAGTTGCGTAATTAAGTTCACTAAGAGTGAGCTTACGCAACAGTACGGGAGAGGAAAGAAGAAGGCATACCTTGTGTAACAAGCGTGAACTTCCCGCCGAACTTCCCCTTTCTTTAAACGGGTCTTTTTGCAAAAGACCAGAAAACATTAACTTAAGTGAAGATCACCAAAAAGTAATAGACCTGTCACGATTGTCGCATACAAGCGTTTTGCCGTCCTCTTCTTTCTGCCGTTTTGTTGCGTAAATTCACTAATTTGTCGTGCTAATAGCGGTATTGGCTCTTTTCCGTTTACGCTAACGTTTAGTCTGAGCTCCACTGTTACTAGTCGGCAAGTTTTAGTTTCACAGCTAAGTTCTGCTTTTATTGAAAAGCTGTTCTCAAGAATAGTTGTCTTGCACGCGAACAGTTTTACAAATCTTTTTTCGCATTTCCTAATAGAACGGTAATACGGGAAATCCATGAAATTCTGATTCGGATTTATTAACAATCGGACGTACAGGCAAATTCATACCCCCACCGTGGTACAAGGGGAGGGGGTTGATGGAATCCCTCCTCGGAGTTTCTGATATATTGCAGTATTTCCAAACGATTTTGCCTTTAGTGGAAAGCCTCTGATCTTCTCTCAAGATGAAGTATAATTTATAGGTGGTGGCGCTGCTGGAGCCCTGTGACGTCCCCAACAATGAACGCCATCTAGGCCGCCCGTCTTGGGTGGATTTTAGAAAGAATTAGAAATCAGGTTAAAATGGCAAAAAAGTTGAAAAAACATGCGTTTTCACTCAAAAATGGCTTGACCACCTACAACATCAATGGCTTTATAGCTTAGCTGGTTAGAGCGTCGCACCGGTATCGCGAGGTCACGGGTTCAAATGCCGTTAAAGTCCTGAATTTTTTTCAGGCTTCTTACGTAATTGCGTAAAAAAATGCGTTCACAACTGCGAGGATCATTCTTCATTTGATTTCATTTCTGCAGTTCTCCAATATGATTTATTTGATATACATTTGTCACAAGGAAACTATATCTAATCAGGGATTACTACTTCATTGAATTTTTGCCCACTTCTCACAAAACGGCTCATGGACTAGAAATCATTTGTCAAAAATGTTTACCATTACTGGTTCCAAGTCCGAAAATTTTGTGCGTTTTGAGAAAAGACTAAAACTGGCATAAATGTTTTCTGGAGGTTTCTTGCTTGCTCTCTTTCATTCCTTTATTATCTAGTCCAACTTATAGCCTTACAATCCATGGAATTGTGCCTTGTAGTTAGCTTTCCGGAATAGGGGTAAATCAAATTGAAAAGAGTAGTAGACAAATAGCAAAATTAGACGATGGATTTTTGCCCACAATGTTTGTTTATAACTCTGACAGGATCAGTCAGGATTTCCATAATAAGGTAGCAGTGTGCCAAGTTCTTATTAACCTCCGCCGTCTGGTTAGCTCAGCCGGGAGAGCGCTGGTTTGCTGCCGCTGGAGGTCGGGGGTTAAAATCCCGACCGCAAAAACACTCAGGCTCTTAAAATTACTGAGAAGCAAGCGCTGCCTTTGTAATGACATCTGCAAACGGTTAGACTTTCTTGAGACTTCTAGGATATAAGGACGAAAACCCGTTGGTCCCCTCTCACACAGTACTTTCACTTACCTGGTACGAGTAAGAGTAAGGGACATTGACCCCGTGGTGTGCCCAACCTCTCCTGGGTTGGGTGGGTTATCTGTAAAGAGAGATATCGATCTTGCAACCTTATGATCCTCCTTCAGGAGTCGAAATGACTACCTGTAGACAGTGTATGTATTTGAACTTTTTTTTATTCGAGTGTCAATGTATTCAGCACGAAAGTACTAATTGGGGACACTATACACAGTTTACGTCTCCAACTGGAGACGGGACCGCCATTTTACGTGGTCATCCGAGACACGCGAAGGTCTAGCCTGTTGCAGTGCAAAGGAAGTACCTTCATTTCTCGGTTATTTTAAGACCCTGAGTATTGGTCCGGCCCCAGGAATCGAACCCGCGACCTCCCGCTCTGCAGTCAGCGCGCTCTACCGACTGAGCTAACACTGCCGCGGTTGAATAACTTCCTGGATTCGCTGCTTACCAACTAAATTAAATGGCTTAAACTAAAAGCGTAAGTCATTATTATTATTATTGTTGTTTCTTTTTCACTTTTTAACTTACCTAAGCAGGTCATTTCAATTTCTCTGGCGATTTCTTCCATTAACTCTCTGTTCCTTTCCCGCTCTTTAATAAACTCCTCTTCCTCTTTTGTCTTTGGAACAGGACAAACTGCAAGCCAGCAACACATATGAACAGTACATCTTAATTTGTAAGCTAACGATATTTTATCAATCGTGCAAAACAATAATGAATATAAAAATTAAAATAAATTAATAATAATAATAATAATAATAATAATAATAATAATAACTCCCCGTCTATTAAAGAGAGCTGTCCCGGTAATAGAGAGTCAAAGTAAGATGGCGCCAGTAATTACAAGAATATTCGCAATAAATACAGTCCACATATATTTTACTTGTGCAAAACAATAAAAAAACAGAATCAATGTACTAGAAAGGAGGAATCGGAACAAGGCTACAAAGTAATGAAAATTCAGTATTTGCTGCTTTTAACAACAGTTTATACTCAAGCAAAAAAAGATAGTGATACAGTAGAACCCCGATAATTCGAACTCGGATAACTCGAACTCCTCGATCACTAACTCAAACTAAGTACAATTTCCCTTGGATTTCACCCCACTTTCTAGTCATTTTAACTCAGTCAACTCCAAATCGGAAAATTAGAATTCCTCGCCAACACGAACTAAAATTCCTTTCCCTTGACCAAAAAATAACTGCGACATGGTAAATTGAATTTTTCAATCGACCCCGATACCTCGCTAACTCGAACTGTTTTTCGTTTCCCCTCAGAGTTCGAGTTGCCGGGGTGCTACAGTACATCACTGTAAGTACTTAAGCTTATGAAAATTAATTCGTTATAATGGTTTGTTTTTGATATCACCATTTGAAGTTCCCATTAGGCTCAAAGAGTTCAGCTAAAAGACGGAGAAGATAGATGTTTTATAGGTTAAGAGGTTCTCCATGAGGTGTTTAGAAGATACGAGCTGTAAGAAGACGCGTACTGCATTTGGAATGGGTATGTAATTTGCTTACCCTAATTGCAATTACTTGTCATGTAGTGCACCTACATTTCCGTTTAGAGGTATTTTTCACTACCTAAAGCACTTCTCAAGGGACTGTTGACGGTTTTGAAAGTGTCAGTTATCCTTCTTAGAGAGGTTTTCGCCTTATGGTTAATTGTCTTCAATTTCTCTTATGATGACCGCTTACCCACAGGAAAAATTGAAAACAATTCTCATGCCAATTGTATGGACGGTGTAAAAATTATGGTGAATAAATGCGCGGAATGATACTTTAGGTAAAGTGTAAAAATGAAAATGTTAAGCGGCTTTCTGTACATGAAGCAGAGACCGGATGTTGAAATAAAATGGTGACAATCTGCAGGTGCCCAATTAAATTTTTGTCGTAGTTATTACCTCCATGATTTACATCTTCCTCTGTTATCATCGCGACTGGGAACATGATAACGAAAATAATGATTAATGTTTTCATGCCTGCCATCTTCCAATCTGTTGAAAACAAAATAATCATGGTTCATAGCATGCCACTGAATTTATTTCGTGGGTGTTAAAGAGTTATGCACGCAAAGTTTAATATCCACGAGTAAGCGGCGGGGGGGAGGAAGGGGGTACCCCTGGGAAATAGGCTTTGATAGATTGTTCTCGCAAAAGTAGCATGATATGCTACTTGCAGTGCTCGTATATTTCTAAAATTATGCCAATAATTCTGCTAGCTTTTGTAAATTAAGCTCGTCGGCGTTTCAGCAAAAAAAGGCCGAAATCATGTTTCTCACTTTTTACTTTAAATTTGGTAAAACAAAACAAAACAAAAAAAAACACCTCAATGCTTCATTTACAAGTAAATGGCAAACTAATTTACCCTGTTTACATCAAGAAACTTTAAGAGTCCTTAATTTATTGTCTGACAAGTATAAAAACTCAAACAATAAACAACCAACACGCGGACGCTACCCTAGGGTAACCACAGACAAATAAATGAATTCGTTGCTTAGATTTGCCTGTAACACAGATCTCGGACCAAAAACATTGGTTGCGTGTGTCCAATATATGACAATTTTTGTACCGCAAAAAAGTGCAAATTATGCTAGCAGTGCTTTTTTCTCGAAAAATAGATGAAAATTATGCTCGTAGTGACTAATTGTGCCAAAAATTATGCTACTTCAATCTATCAAAGCCTACTGCAAAATGCCGGTGATGCCACGAGGCATAATTCCTTAACTCCCTTACTCTATTTCACAACATACACGATTAATCCCATATATGCATTACCCTGCTCAGGCTAAAACGTTATATAGCTATGCAGCTTATGTACTTAATTATAGTATCTAATCAGTAACTTCAACAGATGAGTTCCCATCGAGACGGAGCAGATATCTTATTATAAAGAAGTACCCCAGGGAATTCTATAGTCCGATCGCAGATCACCCTGCTGTTTATTTGATCAAACAAAGTGGAATTTAAAAAGAGACCGGGACTTACAGCGGTTACCACTAACACTGCACGCGCAATCAAAGGGTTTTTTCTTCGGTTCAAACCTGCGTTTTGGTGGACGTCAATCAACAGTTACCATGGTTTTTCACGCGTTGGACTAGAGAAGATTCTTTCCCCATTTCTCGAGCAATTGGAAGAGCATGTCGGCGTTTAAGCCGTTTTTGCAATATTTTCTGACACAGCTTCATGTCAAGATTACGAGGAGTACGAAGTGGTTGAGTTTTTGTCAGAGGAAACTCAAATTATCGACTTTTTTACACGTGCAACCACATAAGCTTTCTCAATACTCGCTCGCAACTCGTCTGAGTTCTTGCTAGTTCTGGATTCTATTCGGTAACGTAAAAAATTATAAGTAGATCTGCAGGTTTGAAAATTCGTTTTCGAAAACAGCCTCCATTCAGAGGAAATATGATGAAGAGAAATGAAAAAACAATGTTTAAAAATGTTTCTTTTCCGACGACGTCTACTTTTTGTAGAACATCTTCAGGAATTGATGAGGGATATGCAGTTGAAGGTAAGCTAAGTTTTTAAACCTTGGAATTATTTAAAAAAAATAATAATTGAAAACAATTATTGGATCCCGGTAGGTTTTTTAATCGCTGAAGCTAGGGAAGGAAGGAAGGAAGGAAGGTCAGGAGCCGTGGATGAGAAGTAACCAGACGTGGCATTAATCTTGACATTCAATATATATATGACATGTATATGTTGTAGTTATTTTATTTTATTATTTTTTTTATCTCAGGTAATTTTTGTTTTTCTTTTGTCTCTGAGTATGGTAATGTATGCTAAATGAAGTTGAAAAAAAAAAAGGAAATTAAAATGGAAAATACCTGAGATAAAAGATTAACTAGAACATATATAACACATGAATATTTTACATACAGCAAGCAAATTAAAGTGGTGCCAAAATAGACAAGAAGAACTAAGAAATGAGGTAGGAAAAATCACCTCTCACCTTTATATCGATCATTCTTGTTATTAAGTTTTCAGTCTACTTTTCTCACCTCAAATTTTCCAGCTTTTTTGAACAGTTGTACGCCTCCTAACTTTTGGAAACTAAAAGCCTTCTGCTGTTCGCTTCTTAAATTATCTGAGTTGTTTTCCTGTGAAGATCAAAATTATACGCCCAGCAATTAAAACTCAAGGGTAAAGTTTAACGCAGGAAAAAGACAGTTGTTTGTCACCTAGCTGAGGTGTCAGCTTTTCGCGCTGACTGATAAAAATGTTTGACCAAAAACAGCGGGTATGCTGATCTCCTATTTATCACTGACGATAGCTGGCTATTTCAAAACGCCATCGATCTATTTCTAATTAATGCTTCAGTTTTCCAGTCTTATCCTAATGGGCATAAATTGACAAATTCCGCCACCTGGTCGCAAAAAGACAAATGCATTTTCTTTTAACAATATGGGTTATTAACGCTATGTGCGCGGATTCATGTGAGCTCATGTGTCATGGTCATTCTACACATGACGAACTAGACTGCAAAAAGTTGGTGTTTTTCTCCAAATTGGTTTAAAGCAGACTAGTACCCCGTTCACCCCAACGCTTAAACATGTTTAAATAATGTTTAGTTAAACTCAGTTTAAATAAAAACAGTTCACATCGCGCGCTGACGCAATCTAAACATGTTTAAAACATGTTTAACTAAACAACCTGTAGGAGGTAGTTTAACTTTCGCGCGAAACTAAACTACTTCAAAACGGCGGCTGCAAAAAAAGTTCGCGGAAGAACGTGGGAGGACAGGGAGACTAGACTTTTGCTCGAAAAATGGGGAGACGAAAACGTCCAGCTAAGACTGAAGTCCTGTAAAAGGAAAAAGCCAATATGGCAAGAAATTGGCGACTTTTTAATGGCCTGTGGATATGAAGACCGCGACGGAGAAGCCTGCAAAACCCGCCTCCACACTCTTGTAACGGCAGACCGCCAATACAAAGACGAACTTAAACTATTTTCAAACATGGATTGATGGTAGTCGACTCAGGCACGTAGGGCCAGCTGTGGTACCATGGTTTGAAACGTGCGGAAAGAGAGTAAAAAAACAAGGTTTCATCCCCCGTTAACTGTTTATTTTTTTCTGCTTTATCAACGCGCGCTTTGTCGGGTTTCTATTTGCAGTTTTCTCCGGACCGAGTCGGTGTTTTCCCTTTTCGGCGCTGACTCTCTTTCCAGGTCTGTTCACTGTGCCCCTGATGAGAATGACAGACCTTCTGAGCAGACTAAAAAATTTTTCAATTAACATCAGTCTATGTTCCTGTCTATATTAGTGAGCTCACTAGAACAGTGTAACATAGCTATTTATCTATTTAGTTCTCGTACCATAGCTAAATGAGTATTTACCACTACTTAATGCTATACATTCTTATTAAAATTAACTAACGTGTTTGTGGCTATTTTTCCGGCAGCTACATGTAGTTTACGCTCAATGAACTAATGTGTGGTCATTGAACTACTGGTGTGGTTATTGATCTGTTGTGTCCTTATTGAACTGCTGTGTGGTTATTGAACTGACAAAAACAAAAAAAGAGCAGCGTAAGAGATTCACTCACGCGAAGCGCGCGAGCCTCACACGCCCTACGGGCATGTGAGGCGAGAGAAAAAAAACCGACTGTCCGTTTTCCATACAATGAGTTCGTTGTGACCAGGGGCTCAAAAATGTCGTAGAGCTGTCAAAAATCTATTCACAACTCCGTCCTCTTTATAAATTTGATACGCCCGGTGATTGATTTCGCGAGAGAATAGCGCGTGTTACTTTTGTTTGCAATTGGCTTCGAACCTTCTTGAAGATCAAAAATGAGTGGAAGTGGCAGTACGCCTACAAAAGCCTGTTCCTGCTCCTCGAAGAGGCAGAAAACCGAGCTGAGAGCTTCAGATAATTGTAGAATGTGCGGCTGCTGTTTCAAAGCGCAGTTCGGCAATTTTAGCGGGAGCACCCAACGAGAATATTGTTCAAAACCACTTAAACATAGCATTGTTAAACGTATTTTAGTATTTAAACGGTAGATATAGGCATATTTTTATCCCCTAAAAATTTTTCATCTGTTCGGATTTCCTATCTGAAAGGCTAGTGATCCGAAAATTATAGGGATTAAAACTTACTTTTTCGAAAATTTCAGCCAAAAAAAAGGCTCCAGAAAAATTCTAGGTGACCTTTTTAGGATAAAAATCCGTTAAAAATGGGCAATTATATCATGTTTTAGATGTTCGAAAATCCTAGGAGAGGCAGGAAAGCAAGAAATTTTACAACAAATGTTCCGAAAATTCTAGATCTCAAATCGTCTTCCGAACAGATATTTTCCGACAATTGACGTTGGGTGCCCCTGATTTTAAGAATGGATGGATAAGCTCTGAATTGTTTTTTTTTTTGCCCCTACTGGAAAAAGGTGAAAAAACGTTACCAAAGTTGGGTGACTTTCTGATAAACGAACTTTGCGTTGTCCTCGACGACGGGAATCTTTCTCCACAAGAGTTTTCTCGCCGCGCGGAACAAAGGTAGAAACTGCGCTGTGATTCTTTCGCAACTGAAAACGCCAACGGACAATGAATTCATCACGGAAGGGAACATCACAAATGACTTGTTGCAAACATAACTTGACAGTTTGCTAAGAGCTTGCGTCAAAATTTAGCCAATGGGAATTGCCCGTGGCTGGGAGAAGTAGGTAATTCGAACGAATCATGCAAAACAGACAGTCGGTATTTTTAGCGTCTCTTCCCAGTCTCACTCTCCGTTTTCAGTTCTACGCAAAAATACGGACTGTTTTGCTGTCAAGACGAACTTTTCGGTCGTAATTTTCAATTCCTTTAAATTTGTGGTAACGACAAGTTTCTGTTATTTTTTACAGGTCTACGAAACTTAGATAATAAGTAAGGAATCCTAATTATGCAAGTTCCGCCTTTAAAGCTGCCGCATATAGTCTAGAATCGCATAATTGAATAAAAACTCGCATTCTGATTGGTTAACGAAGTGAGATATTTAGCGTGGAATTGCGA